GCGAGCTTTTCCAATCGGGCTACCGATCAAGACTCAATAGGGTAGAAGCTATAAATGTCCGGAACGGCCGCTCATCCACCCTTCCATTTCCTCTCTTTCTTCTCGTCTCCTTCCTCCTTCCCCCCTTCTCTCTCTTTCTATCACGTGAAATGAACTACCCTATTAACCGCGCTATAACCCATTGGCCAGGGAATGATGATGTTTTCGTGGTCGTATCGTTCGCCATTACGGATATTTAAGGGATTTTACGAAGATAGACGCCGCAAAATATCGCTCGATCGATAAAATTTTCGTAGAAGAAATCACTTTAAATCTCTCGAGAGAATCCAGTCGATTGATCTTAATCGTATTTCAAGTAACTACGTTGTCGCTCATTTTTTTTATATCGATCAAGTCCTTCTCCCCTTCGTGGTCTCGAAAGAAAACTTACGGTCGTAGAACGAACGGTGGAGACGTACGAATCACGGCGAGTCTCGTGTTGAATAAAAATTAGAGAGTACTCTAGTTTTAAGGATGGTCGAAGGGACAGGAAGAGGAAGGAGGTAAAGTGGAAGGATCCACGAAGACAAAAATCCTAAGGATAAACGGAGGTAAGTGAGATTCGAGTTGGTGAGCGCGCACACAATAACGGCCTAATCTTGAATAAGGAAGAAGAGTTGGTCCGTTCCATGGGTGGGAAAGCAGGTGGAATTGCGAGTTTGAGAGCCGGCGGACATAGTGAAACACTCAAATGGATACGGACGGAGAGAAGCCTCCCGAGGATAAAGGCGTATATCGTTTCCTGGGCAGGAAGGATTGTATCTTTTCCAGTCCCTTCTCCGCTCGAATAATACAGGAAGTAATAATTTCCCCGTCGGTCTCACCCAACCCCCTTTCATTCCATTCACGAACACCGCCTCCCTCCGACCGGATTACATATTAGAATTATTATTCGACACGATCAACTTTACGCCATTTCAGACGAACGTGACGCGGATATCTGCGGGAGATGACGATTTATCCGACCGTTCTTGGCGATGTGTGTTTTTCAGAAAACACAGTACACAGTCGACGAGTTGTAATTTTGTTAATTATCTCTTCTTGTTCATTTTTCTGACGAATTTCTTTTATTCTCTTTCCGATTAAATTAAATCGAAAATTGAATTATCTTCTGAACGTTCAAAGATACACGAAGACAAAAATCCTAAGGATAAGTATTTTGGAATCTTTTTTTTGTTATCTAGTATTATTGTGTCTTATTTTCAGGTGGGGGGTGTTTTCGTTTGGGTAACGATATCGTCATATCCGATTATTTCGTCGATTATTTTTCCAGATGATTTATCTTTTCTAACGAACGTTTCTTTTTTAAAAAGAGGGAAATTGGAAGTTAGACGATCCGGAATCGCTCACCTGTAATTACCCAACTCCATGGTTGGTCGTTTAGAGGGAAACCCGAGGAGTTAGAAGCATTTGAACTGGAGTTTTGGTCGGGGAACAAAAGGGATGGTAGGTGTGTTTCTCAGGCTGCGCGCAGCTTGCCAACTGGCTTTGATACATTAGCAAGCGATAATCCTATCAACTCGCAAAGCCAGGATGATACCAACTGGATCCAACCAGGAAATACGTGGTCTGGCTCCGAGCTGTATCGTATTTCTTCCGCGGATATGTTGCAAAATGCATATATCAGAGTATCGCGTTCAGAGCGCGCGTTCGAACGATGATCACGCGTTGAAACGCGTTTTTTCTTTATCTTCACCTTGTCTTCGAGATACGGTTCTCCAACGTACCCAAAGTAAAAAGGAATATTTCAGGAGCAAAGAAAGTTACTTCGAAACTTTCCTTCCGTTTGTTCTTTCAATTTTTTTTCCTTTTCTTTTTTTTTTTCTTCCGAAAGACACCCTCCATACTTTGCATTTATTCGTATAAAAAGGGAAATATTCCGGAACAAGGGAAGAAGTTTCTTTCCCTCCCCCTCGAAAATGAAAATTCGTGTGTACGTTTCCAATGAACCGTGCTATATTCTTTGAATAAAATATTTGAAAAGATTATCATTCGAATTGTACCATTGATTCGTTCGATCGATCGATCGAAAGTTGGAAGTTTAGTGATAAAGGAAATAATAATAAAGTTGGAACAATTCTCTTTAAATATTTTATTTATTCATTTCGAAGAGAAAAATCCATCCATCGAAGTATACATCCGTGTATTTCCGTATAAATACAGGTATATCGTGGGTTTCGCGTTTCCAACCATCCATCCCTTTCTCGTACAACGAACAATCGGGATAATATAAACGCGAAACTTCTCCCTTTTTCGATTAATACACGAGGCCAATACGCGTGGATCCCCATACGTGTTTTTCAAACACAGTGTACACAGATTCGCGAATTTCGCCCGGGGTTCCGTCCAATGAAATTCCATCTAGAATTTCAATACGGGGCCGCGCGTATATCGTAGCTCAACTTTGAAAACGCCTCGAGCGTTGTCCGGTATTACTTTGAGGATTCGACTTTCTCTCTTTCCTCTTTATACCTACCCCCCTCCCCTCGGAAGCTGACTTTGCGGACCGATTATAGAGAGGATGGTGGTACGTAAGCACCACGGGGAGAGACCTTGATCGATCCTTTTGTGGAAATAAAATCTGACCTGGAGGGGAAAATCCTTTAGCTTTAGGGAATAAATGATCGAAATGGGGGATGGGTAAAGCGTTTGATGACATGGGTGTGCGTTTTCGTGATTCGGGCTGCGTTTTCGTTTCGAGCGCGTTTCAAATTCCATCTGGTTGCTTTTCTTCACTTTTTTTCTATTGTCCAAGGTAGAGGGAATCACTTTTTTTTCACGCGTTTGATCCTCGAACGCGTGAATTTTGATCGAGGAAAAAAAGGAACGTAATTGTAATTCGACAAGTTGAACGGTTTGGTTTGAATATTGTTGGAAAAGTGTTTATTGGATTTGCATTCGTTAATAGGATTTATGTTTTCAGGTATTTAAGAGATATATTGTAATTCAAATTCAAGAATTTAAAAATATAGAAGATATATAATACGAAATGGAATGGAATATTTTCCAAATGTGTGTATTTATACGTAACTGAGGAAAACTCGAGCAAAATGATCAATAACCTTGATAAGAAAATAGAAGAATGCATTCATCTTCTTCACTCAACAATTTCTCCTCTTTTTCCAACGTATGTAATTCTATTTAAAATTTGTAGAAATATGTATAAATATTCTGAAAAAAAATTCAATGGATCAGTTTACGAGTAATTTGGCAAAGATGAAACTGGTTTATCATTAATAGCAGATTACCGTGATCCTTTTTCGGATCTTTGAAAGCCGGTGAAAGAGTTGAATAAGGAACGTAGCGGGCTTCGATGGGGTTTGCGTGTTAATAATTAATCAAGACGGTGGTAAAGAGAGGCCGTTGACGAAATCTTGCAAGAATTAACGCGAGTAACGAACCGGAAAATTGAAAGGGGGAGGGGCGGGAATATCGAGTCGAAGCGCGGACGAAATCGAAGGAAAGGAAAGGAGAGAGCGAAGCGTGGAACGAATCCAATTATAAAATATTATCTGTCGCGACTAATTACGAGTGACTGGCATTCGATAATCTGCTTTCTCGTAGCCGGCGTAATGAAACGTATTAAACATGTTGCGCATTAACGTGATTACCTTGCTACCTCGTTAATTAACGCTGTCTCGATTTCCATCGAGGAGTATTCTTTCCAGGTGTCGCGGAAATAAAACAGAAGGGGGAACGTTGAGGTCGAGAAAGAGGCTCGAGATCGAGTCGTATTTGCGATTGCATTATCAATCGTAAATACCAACTTTTCATTTTGAGCGGTGATATTTTTTATACTATTTTTTTTTTTTTATAACTGCAAACTGAATTGTTTTCGCTCGAGTATAATTTTTTTACCGTTGTAAATTTTGAAAACAATTTCTGTTTTAATTCCAGAGCGAGTTCTAGCGTTCTAAATTTTACAAGAATGTGAAAACATTTTGCAAAATCTGTAAATTGTAATATGGAACAAATGGAATATTTCTTCAAAAAGAAAAATTAAACACTTGAAACATCGAAATAACTTTATTGCATTGTTTAAATTAAATATTTAATTTATTTAAAGCAATCAACATTGAAAATGGAAGGTTAAAAAACATTTAAAATTGGTGGATAAAAATATGGCGGATAGAATAATCCGAATGATGGTTCGTTTGCCACACGCCATGACAATTCCGTAACTCGATGGGGAACGGAATATAGGGGAAAGTTTGTACGAGAGAAGTTTCGTGAATTTGGGTGATTAATCGATAATGGTGGTCGAGGGATAGTTACGTTATGCGTTTCTGCGGTGCAGATCTTTCGGTTCCGTATCATACGATCGCGAATGGTTCTCTTTATTTTACTACTCGATTTCTGCGCGATATAACCTTTTAGAAGCTGAAACTGCATTTTTGTGAATAGCTACTATCTGAAATTTTTGTGATTTCATTCTTTCGAATGGTAAAATTTCAAGCAGTTTCATCGATTTCAAATATTCCCTTTCCCCTCTCTCCCCTATATTGCTTGCTAAAGGATATTATTTTGACTAGAATGGATTGGTTTATGGTGAACTTTTTCCAAGTTGTTCGAAAATTTCTGACAAAAGTTATCGATATTTAATACAAGTTTCAAAATATCCAGAATTTTCTTACGATATATTTTACTCCCAATTTTTTCATTACCTCCACTTCAAAACTTTTCAAAATGCGTTATCAACTAAAAAAAAAAAATAACAAAAATTTAATATTTCTCGTAACCTATAATAACACCAATCCTTTTCCAAACAAATCGGTGAAGTAAAAATCCTCGCCTCGCCCTTCACCCACCCCTATAATCCGCAAATCCCTTGGGAAAATTCGATTTTTCCAGATCCTGGGCCAATTTCCGAAAATCGGTATAATCCAGCGCAAACGGGAACTGCAAATAACTGGAAATAAAGAGCGCGAGTGTGCATAACGGGGGCCGTTGTTTGATTTCAGTGTGCCAGTTGCTGCGAAGCGGGGTGGCCGCGATTTTTGGGCCGCAGAGCGCGCACACCGCCTCCCACGTGCAAAGCATTTGCGACACCATGGAGATTCCGCATCTGGAGACACGTTGGGACTACCGGCTCAGACGGCAGAGCTGTCTCGTCAACCTCTACCCGCACCCCACCACCCTCTCCAAGGTACGTACACCGAATAATACCCTCATCAGGCCGTCAGAGATCCTCGACGAGAAATCCATCCTCCCCTTTTCTACGTTTCTCGTCGCGAGAGAAACGCGGTCGAGTTTTGATTCGAGTTTCACAAATTGCGTTAATTCCGCGTGTTCTCGCGAGTAGATTTTGTTTCGAGTCTTGTTCGATGAGTTCGCTTTGTTTGGTCTATAATTTTTTATTTTACGATTATTCGTATTTACGTATAGTTTTGGAATTTGCAAAACTCTCGGGATCATCGAAGATGGGAAGAAAGGAGACAAGGAGAGAAAGAAAGAATTTTTGAGAACGGATGGTAGTAGTCTCGTAGTTACATCGTGTCGATGCAAATGCGAGTTGACAGCAAGTTGGAAGAAAAGAAGAAGTTTCCAAATTTCTCTTAATAAACGGAAAGTTTCGAACGGAAAGTTGGCGAAAGCGACGCCAACGTATTCTCGGCTTAACGAGACTTACCCGTCTCATCCGCGTACGAAATCTTGGAAAGATCCTAAGTCTAAATTTTCCACTCGCAAATATTCCCGCCACGTGGTATTTTTCTCCTTGATTTCATCGCTGTTCCATTTATTGTCTCTTCCATCCACTCTCGAACCGAGATCTCCCTCCTCGCGATGTCTTTCCAGTCATCGAATATTCCAAGTTCGAAGCTTTATTTTCTTGGTGGATGTAAGAGGTTGTCGAAGATATTAAGGGAAAGTTGTAAGTTGAACGTGGATGGAAACATTTCGAGTTTCCGCGAAAACAAGCAACGTGTGCGACGTTAAGACTTTGGAAACCGGTTTATGGACGAGACGTGACTTCATCCTTGCTTTCCACCTACCAGTTTTCCGCGTTTTGAAAGAAACTTTCTTATCAGAAAATCTAACTTCTAATTAAAATTCAAAGATTTTTCTCGTTTTTCGATATACTTTTTCGCGTTATATATAAATTATTATCGAGATGCTCGTCGAAAAGTTTTCGTTTTTGATTCATCGATTCCTTTCCTCGAATCACGATCCCGTTTTTTCGGGCAAAAAGCAACTCGCGCAACTCTTTCTCTTTTCTTACTTCAATGATCGAGCGTTTCTTACTTCAATGATCTTATTTTATTTGTTCCGCGCAAAGTTGTATTCGAAAGAAATATTTGGAACCGCGCAACGAATAAGAGAGAAATCTTTTAACTTGGAGAAAGCGCATTTCAGTCTTTATGATGGCTTACAACGATGCTATCCGAGTTAAGCTTCGCAGCTTAAGATCCTTTCTCTTACTCCGCCTCCATCTGATGTACCGTACAAATATACTCCACTCCTCTGTCAAATCATCGTACGATGTTATTACGATATAAATAATAGAATATTATCACCAGTTTTCTCTTTTTTCTTCTTCTTCTTTTCCACCAACATCCATAGAATATTTTCGCTCCAATTCGATCTCTTTATGAGCAACGATATTTCAATCGACTCTCGTATCATTGTTTTAAGTTCGAAAAGCCGAGGTTCGTTTCAACGAGAACAAGTGGAACGCAAACAGAATTAATACGACGGCTTGAATACGGTGATCGTTTTAATGTAAACGATACGATAGAAAGGACGTTCTCCTCTCTCTCTCTCTGTTATTTCTCTGTTTTCTCTCTTTTTTCTCTTTTCTCTCTCTCTCTCTATAGTTATGCATTTTCTATCGCTAGTCGAAACCAGAAATACACCCGCTCGCGGATATAAATCTCCAGGCGAAACACGGGGAAGCTGAACATTGACATTGCTTTACCGTGAAAACCGAAAACAGGATGTTTTAAATTTTGAAACATGGGTTAAAACGAATATTCATGGAACAAAGAGCGAGTAATAACGAGAGCTTAACGTTAACTGTTGCGGTAACGATGGTCCGTGCCGATCGTGATTGTGGAAATTAACGCGATATTTCGATAAAATATATCCTGTCTCGTAGAGAAATATTTATTCTCTTTCGCTACTACCCTCATCGAGCCGTTTATCCTCGCGTTTGTAACGTTTTATGCGATCACCGTATTTCGTGCTCGTAGACGTTGTTACCTTTTTTTTTTTCTCTCTCCCTCATCTAAAGATAGAATATTATATGCAATCAAAGACGAATTATTGCAAATGTTTGTAAGAAAAATTGAAGAAAACTCGTTATTTCAAGTTTTCCTGATTTTCTTCAGTTCAAATGTCGAGGAATAATGCTGCTTGCGAAATCGATGCAGTAGTAGAATGTAGTAAAACTTTTTGACGAGTGAGTAAATGTACAATCATAAACCGTTGGAAAGAGGAGGGAATAAAATTGAAATCCAATATTTTTTAAATCAAACGTTGCTCGAAGTGTGAAAATTAAAAAAAAAAAAGAAAGAAACGGCTTAATTATTTTTCCTTCTATATATATATAT